TAATAGTAACTAATACTTACTACATACAAATAAAACAGANATATATATATATATATATATATATATATATATATATATATATATATATATAGAAGGATATAAATAATCATATCACCCTGTAAAGCGCGGTCCTCGCGCCAGTATGCAAGAGTATGCACTGTACGACAGTTTCGTAAATACTTTATCTGTGATATTTAACGTAAAAATATTATATGCTGAACCTCATGTGTAATGTAAATAGTGTATTTTAAAAATCACGTTAACATTCATCTGCTATTGACGCAGTAGTTAATACTATTTTATATAAATATATACTTCGCCTGACGCCACCTATAGAGTATAATTTTACAGTTTTACAGAGGCAACAGCTCTCGGCCCTCGGGTTGTCCTGACGGCGGACGTTGTTTATCTGATTTTCTGGCCAACAGCTGATTAATGTCACCAGAAATAAAGCAAAATATAAGCACCAATAGAATACGGAAAATGTTTATATGACCAATAGAATTGATTTTTTAATGTTTTAAACTAATCAGGAGCCCTACGCGAAACTTCTCGACAACCCCCCCAAAAATCATAAATGTTTCTCAAAAAATTACACGTGTACTATTTGCCCTGAGAAACAAAGTAAATATTGCAAACACATGGGAGATGGTCATTGTTTTCAATAGTTCTCATTTTGTATAGTACTTGCCAACGCTATTTATTATCTTATCCATCTTATGCATCGGTGCCCGCAGTTTCCTGTGTATATCATACCATCCAGTTTCAACGCCATAGTTAACGTCAAGCTGGATCCATATACTCCATTTACCGCTATATACAATACTGGACACATCTGCTCAACAGATCTGCCAGCCCCTACAAGTTATTGTGGCGTAAACTCGACCTATTACAAAACGTTTAACGCTTCCGGCGTGGCACCCAATCGACACCGTGGATATCTCACCAGACAACAATCATGGCGGTCTCGCTAGCTCAGTACACACACAGAACACTCTTCTCACATCTGATATGGGCTCTAGCCCTGTACCGGCGGTGACATCGCATGCAGCAAACATACAGAACGGTGATACGAATACCAATGCTAGTGTAATAGGCATACCCAACCACACAAACAATACTGTGATGGATGCGCAGACAAGCGTTGGCGGTGTTGCTATAGCAACTGCAGATAGTGCTGCAAAGGTGTCGGGTCAAATGCCTGCGGCAGCTCAAAGTGTGCCTGGATATCACACAACATCAACATCCCAGGTGCAGATATCGACACAACAGGCAGTACAGGGCCAAGGACAAGTACCTGGAAACATTCAGGTGGCGAATACGAACACCTATACTCAAGAAACCACACCTGGGCAACACACCGCATTTGCACAGGTGAGCTCAGCTACTACTAGTGCGGCGAAGATAGCTTCACATCAGTCTCCCACACTCAGTGCTACAGAGCCTACTCCCTCGACTGAGCCTGGAGCTAAGGGTGTGGAAGTATCATCAGCACTGCAGCAGGGGCAGACACAGACACGTGGGACTGTGAATAGTACGCTATCGACACAGCTACCAATGCACACTACGTTGCAGATGCAAGCTCAGGCGCACATGACAACGTACCAATCTCAACAACCACAGCAAACCACACACACGCCGCCACAGACATATACACAACCTCAGCCACAACAGCAACAACCACAAAGTAGCATACCCAGCCAGCCCGTGCAGCAAAATCAGGCCACGACCCAGGGACAGGTACAGACGCATTCATACACTCAGCAGCAACAGCAAGGACCCCCGCCACAAGCACAAGGCATACAACCAGTACAAAGCCAGAATGCTATATACACATACCAGGGAAAACAGGCACGCGTATCTCCACTGGCGCCACCTCAGACCTTTGCACAACCACAGGCGAACACGTACACACAAGCACAGCCAACTGCATACACACCAACCCAACCGCAAGCATACACACAGCAACCGATGAATACGTACGTACAGCCCCAGGCCAAGTCGAGTACGCCAACGATGCAGGCCCAATCACACATGCAGCCACAGACACACGTACAAACACAGACGCAAGCATTCACCCCGACATCGACATCGACACAGGCAAACGTATCGCCTCAAGTGCAGGCACAAGGGCTGGTGAAGACGGGGGGTGGACCAGTACCAGCAAGCCATACAAATGTAACTTCAAATATGAGTGTGAAAGGGAGCGCAAACACAGCCGGTAACACCGGTGTGACTTCGAATAGACCCTCGAATGCAAGCTCGACTTCGATGCCCGCGCAGAGCCCCTACATGCACACCAATATGGGCACCTCCTCACCCACACCCACAACGAATACGAATCAGGGCAATGCCAGCCCTATACCCAATACTACGGGCGCATACGCTTACACCACAGCACCCACTTTGAATGCACCAGGTGCAGGTCCCAATGCCACGACCACGTACAAACCTACACCCGGTTCAAATGCAGGCAGTCCGACTGTTGGGGCGACTTCGCGCATGAGTGCGAGTACGGCCTCAGGCGCAAGCCCTGGTACGGTTACGTGTATGGGAACTGTTCTTATGAAAGGTGTGAGCCCTATGTCTGGTGCTGCTACACAGGCCAATGCGTCCGTTAATGGGACAAATGGGACAGCCCCTTTTCCTATGGCCACCAGCCCAGCCCCGGCTTCAACCATGACCGGTGGTGTGGGAAGGGCCAGTGGCAGTGGTGGAGTACCGCCGTTGTATGCCGCTAGTAATACGTTCACTCAGACGGCTGGGGGGAATGCGAATACTACTGCCAACACGACCAACACAAACACGTACACCCAGAAGAACACCACATATGCGCCCAGCAATACGTATGCACAGGCCACCACGCCTGCAGGCGCACCTGCCGGTACCCTTACCTACGCCCAGAATACGGTCCAGGCCAAAACGGTACCAAATTCTGGGCAAACAGGTGCGACATTGGGGGCAAGGGTCAAGGACGAGCCGATGGCCAAGCCTTTGTCGGCCCAGGAGTTGGCAGCCCAGTCTCTGGCGTCGGCGGGATATGGTACTAGCACCCTGAATACGAACACAGGTGCAGGTGTAGGAACCAATCAGAGGAGTACAGCATCTCCGGGTCCTCAGAATACCACTATGTCCACAACATATACAACTGGGGCTACGACTGCTAGTAGTAGTGCGTATGGGAGTATACCTCCGGTGACGGCCGCCCCGACGCATCCTACGCAGGCGTATACATACACAACCACAAGTACAAGCACGGTCCCAGGCACAAGTACAAGTGCAAACACAAATATGAACACAGACACACATATGAACTCAAATACTATCCCCTCACTCAACACACCCATTGGCAGTCCTACGGCCCTAAACCAGGGCATGAAGATGGGGGGCTCCAGTACGAGTGCCAACGGTGGATACACAAAACCCAATGTTATACCCACGAGTGCGAATGGGGCCAAACCTTCCTACCCTGCGGGGCCTAAATTAGGGCCTACGACGTCAACGAGTTCGATGATGACAACGGCGGTGGGGATGGAGAGTGATGTGGAGATCCCTGGCGAAAATAAAGAGGTGCGCAGGGCTCACCACAATGCCTTGGAACGGTATGTGCTTGAATATATATGTAGATGTGTGCATGTGTATATACGCACACTTTTTATATCTATACCTAGACATCCTTGATAGATATATATATGTGTGTATGTATCATATCTAGGTTGGGGATCTATAATCATGTTTCATGTATTTGAATGTGGATGCACACATAAAGACGCTTAAAAATTTACTATTGATATTCAGTTACTAAGGCCAACTGTACATTGGAGTATTGGTGTGTAGCATCCGATACCTTTTATATTGCACTATATTACTCTTCCGTCAAATGATATACCTCCTATCACATAACGTGAGCTTGGTTGGGGGTGCAGTGTGTGTGCGTTCAGGTTTGGTTGACTGATGTGCACCTGCGCCTGCAGTAAAGCTCCTCACAGTCGTCTATGCCATCTGCTCGTGCACAATCATGATCTGTTTCGCGTTAGGGTGGTGATGAATGGACCATATTCCAGGCAACTAGGTATAAGCATGGAGTGTGTGTGTGTGCGGGGTGTTTTGTTAAGATATGTTGGCAGACTTGTTGAGTGGTACGGTGTATGGCTGATTGTGTGTACGTAAGTACTATGGGACAATTGGCGGGTGGCCTATGTCTGCACTGTTCCAAATAGGGCTTATGTGCATTCCATATGAACACATCCATGTAAATCAGAATGTGTGCTGTGCAAGCCTTGTAACGAGTAGGACTATCTCTCGTCGTATAACTAGCCGTCGTGCATGTCCGTGTGCGCATTGGACAAGCCTTATAACAAGCAGAACTAACACTGTAAGAAGCCTCACTGCATACTAGTATGCTCGCCAGACAGGCCTTATATCGAGCTGGACTAACTCATTGTATGTGTAGCTTATATACGCGCCTACGTGCACATTTGTCAATAACATCAGCGATGTTCGGGCCACCAGTTTTCAGATGTGAATATACGGTAATTCAATTTTGTTTACTGCCAATATACCCGATCCGTACCCTATTCTCTTCCATCTCAGGAAACGGAGGGACCACATTAAGGAGAGCTTCACCAGTTTGCGTGATCAAGTGCCGCAGCTCAACGGTGAGAAGTCCAGTAGGGCCGCCATCCTAAACTCCGCACGCGACTATATCACTGTGCTCAAGGGCACCAATGGGCAGGTGGAGGCTGAGGTGAGGCTGAGTTAGTGCGAGTGGGATGGGTTGTGTAGAAGCACGTGTATGTATCTATGTATATAGATGGAGGGTTTTGCTGGTATGTTGGCTTGAGTGTGTATATATATAAATATTTAATTGGAATGTATGTGACAATATATGTACATATGCAATTTGTCTATATAAATGTATATGTGCATACATGGTGATAATATGTGCGAATAAAACAGCGTTTGTATGCTCATATATATTAGTATCATGCTCATATACAAATTAATATTATGCTCATATATATATATTAGTTTTATGCTCATATATAGTGTAGTAATATGCTCGTATATGTATAGTAATATGCTCGTATATGTATTAGTATCATGCTCATACATATTAGCAGTATGCTTAGATACATGAGTAAAATGCCTTTATATATGTGAGAGTGGGCATCTATGTCAGTGTGTAACCACCCATATCCAAATATGTATCCGGGACGCGTCTCACGCATATTTCAGGGTTATAGGGTTTGATTGTGATATATATATAAGTGTATCTACACAGCCAGTACTACACCATGAGATATGCAAGCACATGCATACAAGAACAAGTACAAACTCGTACTACTCTGTATCCCCTATCTAGGTCGATTCACTTACAAAAGAAAATATGTCTCTGCTTGACCAAATTCGCGCGCTTGAAGCGGCGATCGGACCTGCGGCGGAACCAGTGTACCCGGGAGGTCCGAATTGTCATACCACTGAGGCATCCCCTTATGCATTTCAGGGCCTGAATGGCCCTGTTCTTAATCAAGGGGGCTTGCCATAAATGGGATGCAAAATAAATTTATAATGAGATAAAAATAAAATTATAAAATTATATAAAAGATTGCAACGCATATGTAATAGTAGAATGGTTGAGTTGATTGGGGCAACGGAGCACACAGCTGCTCATAATATACAGGAAACAGCATCCTACGATACCACTCGCAGAAAGAATGGTTCCGAAATAATCAACAATACAACAAAAATGTAAATGAACACGCGTGTATATTTAAATAGAATGTATATATGTGCATGCAAAATATACATCAAGATATGCGAGTATGTAAAAACTATATTAATATGTGAATATATATACATTTACATCTTTCTAAGTCTATATAGTACATGTACATATAAATACACGTATTATATGTATATATATTTAAATATATATATATATAGTATACACACACATATATATATTATATATATATATGATATACATATATGTGTGAGTATATATGTATGTATTGAAATTATAGATGAAAATATGTATCTATATATACATATGTGTGTGTGTGTGTGTGTGTGTGTTTGTGTGTGTATATATAAGAAAATAAGAATATA